CACAGACGGCATCGACGGAGTATGCTTAGTAGGGACAGCTTTCATACTAATTTTTTCAAAGTCTGTCAGAGGTCTCAAAATGGTACTCCTATCTTTAATGGAGTTAAGGTCTGCAATCTGCATTGCATTCTAGTGTAATAGGTGAGGTGTAGGAATGTGCGGCAGCGACTCCCAGCCTGCAGCTTTTGCAAAGTGGTGAACCCTAGAGTGGTCAGCATTTGTTAAAGCGTTCAGTAGTGGATTATGCAAGCCAGGGGGAAGTGGGGATTACCCACAAGTGGTAACGTTGGAGAGGGGACCCGGAGACAGGGCAGAGAAGGCAAAGATGCCACTAGTAACCCGCATCGAACAAACAAGTTTTTCCAATGCGAAAGGGGCAAAGAAGGTTGTATCCACGGGAGTCCCCACAGGGGATAAGGAAAGTCATCTTGCTCCAGTGCGACCACAATTTTTGTTGTGCATTGCAGCACCAATCCACCACAAAAGCCAGCATGACAGCCTTATAATAAAGAAAGGGGTCTGGAAAACCCATACCACCTGCCAGCTTCGGCCCAGACAAGATCTGACAGCGGATTCAGGCCCGTTTATTAGCCCACAGGAAGGAAAGAAAAACCAACCGTATTTGTTTAAGGTAGGTCGCAGGGATCGAAACCGGGAGAGTCTGGAACAAATATAATAGCCTGGGCAAGATTGTCATCTTCAAAATCGTATTTCGCCCAAACCATGTAAACGTGGGGTTATCCCAGGATCCCGTAAATCCTCCGATATGCGACGTTGGAGAGGCAGAAAGTTCGGGGAAAAGACTCTATGAAGATCTGATGGAAGCATAACCCCTAGATATTTAATATAAGAGTCTGCTCATTTGAAAGGGAAAGACGACTCAATTGGATTTCTGGAAGAGATACATTAAGAGCCTCAGATTTAAAACAAAATTTCTTAAAATCCGACAACGTTCCGTAAATCGACATTTCCGACAAAAGTTTGGGGAGAGATACCTCTGGGCGTGTTATATAGAATAGAAGATCATCTGCATATGCGGCTATTTTGTGGTGCCTCGAGCCAACCTCCAGGCCTCTGATGTCTGGAGAAGATTTAATTGTCAGTATGAGAGGTTCCAGAGTAAGTTTGAAAATGTGGGGGGATAAGGGACAACACTGATGGGTCCCATTGGATATAGAAAGAAGTTCAGAGAGCCTCATTGACCCTGACCACCGCAGACGGGTTAGAGTAAAGGGCACCTATCCAGTTTTGCATATTGGTCCCCCGACCCACATAGCCCAATGTTTCCCACAAGAAGGTCCAATTAACATGGTTGAAGGCCTTCTCCGCATCAATCGACAGTAAGAGAAGGGGTCTTGACCAAGCCTGCACCAATCGAATGATATTCAGAGTTCGGATGGTGTTGTCCCTTGCTTCACGGCCCGGCACAAAGCCCACTTGGTCAGGGCCAATGAGGTCACCCACAAGCGGAAGAAGTCTAGAGGCAAGTATCCGAGTTAAAAGCTTACGGTCTACATTTAAGAGCGATATATGGCGATAGCTTGCACAACTGGTGGGATCTTTACCTTCTTTAGGGATTACTGTAATCTGGGCTCTCAGAGTCCCTAGGAGGAACCAGCCCTTCCAGAATCGAGTTAAAGGCAACGAAAAATTGAGGACCCAAGGTGTCAGGGAAGTGTTTGTAGTAGGTCAACGTGAACCCATCAGGGCCAGGGGCCTTACCGGGTTTCATCGTTTTTAGAGCCCGTTCGAACTTCTCTCCCGTAATGGGATCCTCCAGCAGCAAGCTATCGGAGTCCGACAGACGCTTCATAACTGGAATAATAAAGTACTCGCGTATTGCACATTCCCGGGACCCGGGACAAGAGCGTGCATCTCGCAAGGCATTGGCCAGCATCTTAGCAAATTTATTACCGAATTTGTAGAATGAACTACGTGATTTTGAAAGTTGTGCTTTTACCCTACCCATTAAAAGCATAATAAGTTCAGATCTGGTTTTGGCAAGGGCAGCCCAAGTATCTATATCTAGAGACGTCTTATGGCGTAGTTCTAATGTCTTAAGTTTAGCGTATAGATCCTCAACCAAGCGGGTACGTTGGCGTTTACGAAACGACCCCATCTTAATGAGCGCCTCCCACAAAGACAACGGATTTTGAGTGGGGGAACTATTTTCGGGGGAAAAAATGCTTGTTCATGCGTAACTCAGCCTCTAATGCCGTTTCCTGGAGGAACGACTCATTCAGGTGCCAAGTAGGCAGGGGACGTGTATCGGGGCCCTACCGTAGACACAGGTGAATGGGGGAGTGATCCGAGAGCACGGTAGAGCCAAAAGAGAGTATGATAGGTAGGGTAGAGAGAAGCGAGTATAATCCCTATCAACCGGGTACAGGATGCGCCAAGGGTCTATCAGTTGGAGATCAAACATTGAATTCTTAAGACGTTTCCGCTGTGAGTGGGTAAGATGAGAAACTCCCCTCAAGGAGTCAAGATGAGGGTCCAGAACTAGGTTGAAGTCTCCCCTAAGAACCCAGACCCCCTCAGCAAAAGCAACCAACCGAGACCAAAATATTTCAAGGAAGCCTATCTGTCCAGAGTTCAGGGCATAGAGGGTGGCAAGCATTACACGATGATCCTGGACGTCCCCTTTCACCAAAGCATCCTACCATCAGGATCTGCATAATCAACGTAGGACCAGGAGGGGGACCGTGATAGAACCATACTGACCCCTTTGGATTTAGAATCAGGCGAAGGGGCATGATAGGAAGTAGGGAACCTATAATTAGCTAACGTCGGGATTTTATCAGCTCTAAAATGGGTTTCCTGTAAAAATATAATATTGTATAATAATTTAGACAGGAGCCAATCAACCTACCAGCATGTCTTTGGAGTGTAGGAGTAAACCGGAGTACCCAGAGGAAACCCACGCAAAGCACAGGGAGAACATGCAAACGCCTTGCAGATAGTGTTCTGGCAGGGATTCGTACTAGGGACCCCCAGTGCTGCAAGGCAGAAATGCTAACCACTACGCCACTGTCCTCCCCATCTATACCATCTGATATAGAGGTCTACAAATCCTAGCAATACATTATAGAGCAATGCCGAATAATATAAAGCTTCATATGATGTGCTGCTCCTGGGTGCTGGCCTGATGTCTCTAGCAGATGGTCTCTGGAGGGCTGTGGAGGGTCTCGCGGGTGGGTTTGGGGCTGCAGAAGCACTGTAAGCAGCGCAACATGGTTCCCCAGGAAGGAGGAGATGTGCAGGTTGGTGCTGTAAACAGGCAGCGCGTGGTTCACAGGAAGGCTGCCAAGGTCCCCAGCAAGCATGGGACCTCAGGGCAGCCGCTTCAATTAAAAAAAATGTAAAGCACCAGCATTGGTGTTTAGTGTTGGGGCATTTTCAGGATTACTCATGAAAATGCCCTGTATCGGCACCAATAACGGTATCTGTGCATCCCTGAATTTTATATTTTTACATGGGTGTATAGACCATTTATATCCACTGTACATATACCCATTTTCCTGCCCACAACATGATCTGTGGTTTGTGATGAGGCCTGTGACAAAATTTGCATGGTTTGTGGCAAGCTGTCTGCTATCTGAATACAGCACAGAGTCGCGCTTTAGCCAGTAAAGATCCCAACAATATTGATGGAACCATCTGGCTGCCTGATTGACAGCTGGATGTCTCTCTAGAGCCTGGGCCAGTTGTGCACCTCCCCTGTCTGTCCCAGTGAGTACTGGAGGGACAGACAAGGGAAGGGGAAATTCCTGTGGGGAGCGTTGACTGACAGTCACTGCTCTCTGCAGGGAGGAGACTGTGAGCGGAGATATTGGCAGTTATGGGATCGCTCAGCTCTTGGTATAGAGCCAGCATGTGACAGCTGCAGTTTCCCACATCGGCTGTAAGTATTGGGAAGTGTATATTTCACTCTCCCAATACTTCTCCTTTATGCTTCATGAAGTTCCTTGTTCTTGTAGGACCTGCTAGCCTGTGTTGCCCACTCCTCAGATGGACTGCTTTTGGATGTCCCAGATGTTCAATAATCCTGTATGGATTTTTGTACTATACATAAAATCCTTTTCTTATGGCCCTTGCTTTTGATACTGCTTTGTCACGAAACTGAAGCATGCTGTTCATGGGAGTGCTTATAGCCTATGGGTTGGCCTACAGTTTTTTTTTTTGTATTCCAAAGACCAGTCCTTCTGTAGATGGCAGTATAATCCTTTTGTTCAAGAATCCTGTGTTCCTCAATTGACTTTTAAATGGCAATTAATTATTGTACACAGCAAACTACATGTCATTCAGTTAAGGCTTACATGTACATTGAAGTGTAAATCTGGTCAGAATGTATTTTCTAGTGTAGAGAGTAAGGAACAATTAGAACCTCTATTAGGTTTTTACTTTAATTTAGGACTTTATTAGTGAACTTTTCCTTATTAGTGAACTTTTCCTTGTTACATTGATAACTCTTTTACCAGACAGGAAGTGAGAGAAAATCTGCACACAATGCATACATGAATTTCTTTATTATCTAAACAGTGCTGTTTCCTTGACTCTGGAAATCTTGCTCACAGACTTTGGGTAGGTAAAGGGCTCTTGGGAGAAGTAGTCAGTATACCTGGCCTAGGGCACCCTGGCTATCCCTCCTACCAGCAGCTGCCACTGCAAGAATTTTACAAATCAGGTGTTGAAACCATAGGGAGTAATAACAGCTGTTTTTCGCTATACTAAAAAGGTAAACAAAAAAAAATGTAAGTATCTAAACCCGAGAGAAAAGCATGGCCATTTACAACACAATATTGTACACCATTGTATTTTTTATGTATAGACTTTTAGTGGTGTCTCACAATAAGTGAAATTATGCTGGAAGTTTGTCTCTCTGCCATTTCCCCACTGATTTAATAATTTTTTTGTTTGGTCTTTTATGTTGTCTCTTGTTGCTTCTCCCACTTTGTCCTCTCCTGGTTTTTCCATTCTGTTTTTTCCCCCCTCCAAAGATTATGCAGAACAGGTCCGCAACCTGCAGAAGATGAAAGAAAAACTTGAGCTTGCTTTAGAAAAACACCAGGATTGTACGTATCTACTCCGTCTCTTCCTTTCTCTGTGTTCTACCATAACCATCCAATTTATCCTTAAGAACGTTTAAGCATTAGAATAGCTAAAATTACCTTTCCTGGCGAAAAATGCTGCTTTTTTCAGCTTTGGTTGCATGACCAAAGTTGTTCACTTGATGTTGGTTAAAGGGCAGGATCTGTCTATTTGATCTCTAGTTCTCCCTTTCAAAATAGATCACATAAGGGACGGAAGCTGGAGCAGTATTTTCTCCAGGAAAGTAAGTAGTTAACCCCTTCATGACTGAGCTTGTTTTTAGTTTATGTTCTTTAATGACTGACGCACTTTTGACATTTTTGCGGTGTGATTCTTCCTCATCAGTAATATACTTTCTTACTAAGCGCACCAACACATATTACCGTATATACTCGAGTATAAGCCGAGGGTGGGAAATGAGGCAGCTACTGGTAGATAGATACCAATAAAATTACATTAATATTTATTTAAAAGAAAAATAACCTAGCTCTGTAAGTGGAAAAGGGGGTACAGGGCTACATATCATGTACTACGGATCATTTAACCCATTCATATTAGCAGAGGATAATTGTAAATCTATTGTTCAGTGCATTCTATATGTAGTATATAGTACATGTACATATAGAGTGCCTGCAACAATACATTTACAATGATCCTCTGCTAACATGAATGGGTTAAATGATCCATAGTACAGGGCTACATATCATGTACTACGGATCATTTAACCCATTCATATTAGCAGAGGATAATTGTAAATCTATTGTTCAGTGCATTCTATATGTAGTATATAGTACATGTACATATAGAGTGCCTGCAACAATACATTTACAATGATCCTCTGCTAACATGAATGGGTTAAATGATCCATAGTACAGGGCTACATATCATGTACTACGGATCATTTAACCCATTCATATTAGCAGAGGATAATTGTAAATCTATTGTTCAGTGCATTCTATATGTAGTATATAGTACATGTACATATAGAGTGCCTGCAACAATACATTTACAATGATCCTCTGCTAACATGAATGGGTTAAATGATCCGTAGTACATGATATGTAGCCCTGTACCCCCTTTTCCACTTACAGAGCTAGGTTATTTTTCTTTTAAATAAATATTAATGTAATTTTATTGGTATCTATCTACCAGTAGCTGCCTCATTTCCCACCCTCGGCTTATATTCGGGACGGCTTATACTCGAGTATATACGGTATATGTTGTTTTTTTTAGAGGACAGATAGGGCTATATATTTATATAACACGTGTACCTAATGCCTCACTTAGGACAAATTAAAATATTACAATTGAGGAAAAAACTTAAAGAAAACCACTTTTTCCCCAGTTTTGATTTGTAGTATTTTTGTTAGAAAATTCATTAAATACATTCATTTGTTTGTCCTTTATTTGGAAAAAACAAATCCCTAGGATTTTCGAAGTGTTTCTGTACTTCTCAGCCTAAAACTAAAACCTAACATTTTAATCTTTTTTTTTTTTCTCTAAAAGCTAAGGCTAAAAGTGGTCATCTGGCATACAATGTCACTGTCACTAAGTGTCACACTTAGTGACAGCAACATACTTTGAAAATCACTGTCATCAGGGATTTAAATAAAAAACTATTAACCACTTAGGGTGAAAAATAAATCTGCTGCTCAGCTGCACATTTGCATTGTAAGGGGTTAATTTTTATATTAATGGTGGTATAAAATGATATTTAAATATATAATGTTTATTTGTTACATTCATAATTTTTTTTACACCACTTTAAAAAAAAAATGTTTACATCTTTATTTTATTTATTTAATTATTTCAAGCAGTCATTGTGAATGAATCTCACTATTACTGCTTGATAATTTAATACAGTTTTGGTTGCTTTAAACTTAAGAACAGCCAATTATAACCTTAGTGACACTGATCCTGCAGCATTTCAGGATCAGATATCACTAAAGGCTTCTGATCGTTCCCACAATGATCCCAATGATGAAAGAAGCCTGCAACATTGTTTCAACAATAGAAACATGTAGCTAAATGTTTCTATTGCTGAAACGTTAGGAAAAAAAGCCGGTATACATCGGGATTTTCCGATCTATACCTGCTGTCAGAGTGACGGCAAGAGCTGTAAATACCGTTCTACTCTCACTGTCAGACACCCGATTCCTGAAAGGGATCTGGTGTCTGAAAAAGCTTAACTCTTTCATTAATGGATGCCTCAATACTGAGGCATCCATTAATCAACGATTATTTCTCAGCGGTTACCAGCATTACAGTGCCCCAAGTAGCTACTTCACACCATCTGAAGGTAATTGGATATCGTACATATAGACAACGATCTAGACATATGGAACGAGAATGGACGAACTCCAGGGATAAGAATTATCATACTTGGTGATACTAACAAACAATGAGGAGGCCAATAAAACATTAGAAGGTAATTTTGGAAAGATTCGGAAGCCTTAGATTAACAAGGAGAAAAATAAGATATGTAAGCGCCAACTGTAGGATATACATGACATGTATCAAAGTGAAGGTAGTAGCCAATAAGACAGCAAAAATACCAGCAAAGCTAGTAGGGTAATAGTGCGTTAAGAAGTGAACATTGTGAAGAAAAGAGCATACAAAATGAAACGGAAAAGAACATTCGGTGGCATAATTCGCTGAATGGTAGTGCAACATGCTGGGACAGTGCAGGGTGAGTTTACTGTGTTTTTCCATTTGGAGGCTATGGTCAGTTTGGCCGCTAATAAGATATAATGCATTAAAGCATGCAGGTTTCTGTAGATTCTGGATACCGAATCGTGCAGAAGCACAGTCCACAGGGTTTTAGGAAGGTTTTTCTTGAAAAGTGTTTTTAACATTTGGAAAACTTTGGACCAAAAGAAAGATGCGAATGGGCAAGTCCACCATATGTGCAGCATATCATCTTTAATCCGGCAGCCCCTAAAGCAAGAACCAGGTGCATATGTGTGGTCTTTGATGGAACCATGTACCACTGCATCATTACTTTATAGGCCACCTCCAAATTGGAACATTTAGGCAGGTCAGAACGGAGGCTCTCCCAATATTCTGCAGTCCTGGTAAACCTGATTCCAACTTCCTCACATAACTGTCTCGAGAAGTGTGGGAGCTTGTTGCGCTGGTAATATAGGGAAGATATTAGCGTAGGACCACCAGGACAGTGCAAACATATGTGCTCAAAAATCGTCAAAGGGGTGGGGGGTTAGATAACTTCTCCCTAAAAAGAGGGGTAATTCAGGACTTCAGTTGCAAGAAGTGAAACCATTCCTCTCTGGGTATGTTTCTATGTTCAAAAAGAGATGCCCAAGCAATAATAGAGGAGGATCCTGTATCTTGCTTCAATCCACCAATCGAACGCTGGGCTGAGAGGCGATGGGCAGGAAAGGAGCATAAGGTGACATCAGGGAACTGGAATACTTAATTGAGTCCCAGATTTTAAGGTTGTGCTTAAGTGGATTCAATTGCGTAGATCAGACGAGGTGGTAGCCAGGACAGCGCAGAGACAGCCACAGGGAAGCTGTCAGTGATATCCAGAAGGGTCCAGAGGGGGGCGCTATATGGGATATGTAAGGAGATTAGGGGAAGAAGCTGACACGCCCGATAGTAATGAGAAATGTTGGGAAGGCCGATGCGACCCTCCCTCCTATGGCGGTATAGAGTGGACTGGGGAACAAGTGGTTTCTTGGAGAACCAAATAAAGGAATTCATGCTTTTTTGTAGGGACCTGAGAGTAAAAGAGGGTATTGCGACGGGGAGAGTCCTAAAATGGTAAGTTTTGGAAGTAAAGTCATTTTGACTGCCGATATTCTGCCAAACCAGGACAATCCAAATGGGATCCAGGATCGCAATAGAGATTTAATGGTGTGGAAAAGGGATATGTAATTAGCTTCATGTAAAGTTTTGTATAATAGTGTAAGGGTTATACCTAAATACTGAATGGATCTAAGTGCGATATTAGTTCGTAGAGCAGTCAGTACGTCAGCTGATAAGGTAATGTTTAGGGCTGAGGATTCTCCCCAATTGAGTCAATCCAGAGGGAGAGGAAAAGACGTCAAGAAGAGATATAAGATTAGGAATGGAAATATGTGGTTGTGCGAGTGTCAAAAGGATATTATCCGCAAAAAGGTTTAACCTTATATTCAACTCCAGCCATCTCCACTCCCCTTTTTCAGGATTGTTGCGAATCAGGATGGCAAAAGGGTTCTATGGCAAGGGCAAAAAGAATTGGCGATAAGAGGGCAGCCTTGTCTTGTCCTCCTCTCGATCGAGAGAAGAACATAGGCCAATAATCTGGACATGGGCACTTGGTGAGGCATAAAGAGCAGATATCCATTGCATGAATGGGGCTCCAAACCCCTATATAGTCAAAATGAAATGTAAATAGTCCCAGAAAACAGAATCAAAGGCCTTCTGCAAATGCAATGATAACAGGAAGCCCGTGATTCACTTAGTATTCAGAACATGGGTCAAATGAATGGTCTTGAACGTAATCCACGAACTGCCATTGAGGTATGAAAACTAGGGATGCACCAATACCGTTTTTTTGGTATCAAGTATGAGTACCGATATTTTGCTTTCGGTACTCGACGACACCGAGTACCGGTTCTTACGCTGGCATGGAGCCGACTTCCCAGGCAATCAGGAAGCCGGGCGGCATGTAATGACCCACCTCCCGGCTTCCTGATTGCCCTGGAAGCCGGATCCATGTTTTTTGGCCGGCTTGAAGCATCGAGCTGGCTTCCTGGCCAATCGGGAACCCTGGTGGCCAGTAATGACCCACCTCCAAGGTCCTGATTGGCTGGAAAGCCGGCATCGAGCCAGCTTCCCGGCCAATCGGGAAGCCAGGATGCAGGTCATTACGTGCCGCCCAGCTTCCTGATTGCATGGGAAGCTGGGTCATGTTCCCCTACAGAGGTCAGAGGAAATCCTCTGTTGACCGGAAGTTCTGGTATCGGGAAAGGTATCGGAG